CTGTGCACTCTCAGTTACTGGGAAATAATTAAATTGATTGAAACAATTAACTTAGAGCATGCTTAAAGTCAATGAAAAATTATCCCAAGGCTTGAAACTATTTTGATGTTCTCCCAGTATATTTAATTGGTATAGACAAACCAATAATTTGCTAAAAACTAGTGTTACTTTGAATTACTTTTGATTCCTGTATGTCTCTTCAGAATCATTTAGACTCTCTACTGTGGAACTTTCTTTCATTTCCTACTTTAGCAATAGGCACAAGACACAAGGCTATCTCTGGGGCTTGCCAAGACCCAGATGCCAAGCCTTGGAACATTCTAGCACAACATCTGGCCTTTTGGTGAGCTCCACAGGCAGTTGTGCACTCATTCTCAGAACCGCCTCTGGGGATGTCACACGGTCAAACAATTTACTGATATTTGCGCTGGGTGTTCTCTGAGGAAACATTTGTCTTTCTGCTCACTTTGAATATGTAGCAGATAACATTAGAGCTATTAATTATGAGGACAAATAATGTTTTCTACACAAAATACTTTGTTTTAAAATCTTACTTCCTTACTTTAACTGGTAGTGTTGCATTCCGGCCTAGTTTCCAGCTGTTTGTGAATTTTGGGGGGAATCAGGAGAGGTACTGGCTATTTCATTTATGGATATATTTTTGAACAACTGCACAAATTCATTAAAATTGGCCAGATTTGCATTCTGAAGCAGCTTAAATTATTGATGATAATTGAAAAAAATATATTAATACCTCCAAGACACTGCCTCAAAAATAACTTTCCTAGTTTATTGTGTTAAGATTATTTCCTAAGTATTTACAATGCTGTAACCCCCTATGATATTAGTTTCCTTGTCATTAGACAGCTAAAGATCTGTTTTAATGTCTTTTTCAATCAAGAGTTTAAAATCCATATTCAAACAATACCAGCGATTTATTTAAAGTTATTATCAATTTAGCACAAAGAGTAATCCCAACTGTTTCCCTCTTTGAGTATGCAAGATTAATCAGATACAAGAAAAAAATGCAATTAAATTAACATATTGCCTCCAACAATTTTCTATTTTTCAAGGGAAAAGACAAAAATGCATTTATGAATATGTTGCCTAGCATCTGGAAAATAAGATCTAATACCATGTGACAGCACATGGACTTCTTCAGACAAATCTTTATCCTATCATTTTTAGAAATTGCTAGATTTTGGCTTCTTAGTAAACTTTGTTTATCATGACATTACTATGTAGTTCATTTTCACTGATAACAAAGTGTTCAAATTTTCACACTTCCTTAAAAGTGTATTTTCCATAAAAGTTTAAAAGCAGAAATTTGTTTTCATTTATTTTGAGTGTTTGATATTTTTTCAGTATTTTTTAAGGATAACATTATTTACATAATCTTTGAATTAAAGTACTAAATGAGTGATTAGTATTTTCTACCGTAGATTAAAATTGTGTACATGTAATGTCTTATTTCTGCAATGAAATCAGAGGAACTTCCTGTTAGATATCAATCGAATATTTACCCACCTTTCAAAAGACGTAGGGAAAAATCCCTGCTACAGGGACCATTTAAATATGGTGACCCTACGATATCTAAATGATTAAGATTGAGGATCAATATGATAGAATGTGGAGAGATGGTTCCCAAGTAAACCCAACGCAATGGGAATTGTTGGTTGGGTAGTAAAATTGTAGCAAATGGTCAGTTGAAGACATTCAGGTTTTGATACTTCTGTTTTATTATAAAGGAGGTAATTTCTTTTTAAACTGAGGACCTTGGAAACAACCAAATTAGTCAAAATGACATGGGACAATATATCCTGTTTTATAAAACTATCAACTTGAACAAAACAATAACTAATTACTATATGAAGCAGATAAGTAGGAGAGAGGTCTTCTGGTTTGCACTTGGCACCAGGCTCAGATTCATCAATGATGTGGAAAGCATGAACCACATTTAACTTTTCTCCTTTCTCTTCAAAACTATCTTTTCTTTTAGTTCTTAAATATGCACTTTCTCTATGGCTTCTTGTCCACGTGGACAAGGTCTGAAATCTTCCAGACAAGGCACCGTCCCCTTAGATGGCGGACCTGCGACATGATGATATCACCGGTCACGAGTTTCTCTTGTCACGGGCTTCACTGATCAGTGCGGCATCAGGGCTAGATTAGCCTTGCTATACTTGTCCTTTCTGACTTTTATTCTGATGGTCACTCCGGTCTCTATGTAATCTAAACAAACTGGGAAAATTTTCTATTCTGTCCCTTTAGGGAAAAAAAAATGTTTGGACTAGAAATCAGTGGCCCAAATGTGGGCAAGACAATAATCTGTCCCTGCTATGGCCCTGTAACAGATGATCCCTCAGGCCCATATGTTCCTCCGCCTCGAGAGCAGTGGTGGCACCAGCATAGCAGTCTCCAGCCAGCACCTTACACTGAAGCAATAAGCTGCCGCATGGGTGTGAATGGGAGGTGGGAGCAGCGAGGTAGAGACGTGGGCAGAAGGCTCGCTTAACTGGGAGGGTGGCTCCACTCTGAGAAACGGAGAACAATATTGTTGCAAGCTTAACATAGGACAAGACTATTCAGGCCTTGAAATTGTGCCAGTAGGGTTGGCATTAAGAAGCAATTTTTGTCTGTGTGTGTGTGGAAGCTTAGCCCTGAGCTAACATCTGTTGCCAATCCTTCTCTTTCTGCTGAGGAAGATTGGCCCTGGGCTAACTATCCATGCCCACCTTCCTCTACTTTATATGGGATCCAAACCCTGGGCCGCCAAAGTGGAGCATGTGAACTATGCCACTGGGCCAGCCCCCACCAACTTTTTTTAAGACAACACACAGTGAGAGAAAATATCAGCAAATCATCTATCTGATAAGAGTCTAGTATCCAGTACCCAGAAAACTGTTACTACTCAACTATTTTTTAAAAACCACACAACTAATAAAAGGGGAAAGGATGTGAATAGACATTTCTCCAAAGAAGATATACAAATGGCCGAGAAGCACATGAAAAGATGTCCAATGTCATCAGGCATCAGGGGAAATACAAATCAAAAGTAAAATGAGATACCACCTCACACCCACTAGCACGACAGTAATCAAAAAGTTGGACAATAACAAGTGATGGCAGGGATGTGGAGAAATTGGAACCCTATACATTGCTGGTGGGAATGTAAAATGATGCAGCTACTTTGGAAAACAGCCATAAAAATGAAAGTGCTAACTCATGCTTTAACATGGATGAACTTTAAAAACATTATGCTAAGTGAAAGAAACCAGACACAAAAGGCCACATATTATATGATTTCATTTAAATAAAATATCCAGAATAGGCAAATCTATAGAGACAGAAAATTAATTAGCGGTTGCCAAGGGCTGGAGAGGGAAATGGGAAGTGACTGCTTCTGGGTATGGGGTTTCTTTTTGGGCTGATGAAATATTCTCGAATTAGATAGTGATGATGGGCGAACAATCTTGTGAATATATGAAAAAATATAACTGAATGGTACACTGTAAAATAGTGAATTCTATCATATATGTATTAGATCTTAATAAAAAAATTCCCTCACCACCTCCATCCACCTACCCCACACTAATGATTACAGTCACAGTTAGTGGTAAGGAAGGATTGACACTGTCAGATTCACACTGACAGGGAAGGGACATTCTTAACTTCCTCTTCACCTATATCACGCCTTTGGGACGTGGGCTACCAGTGCTCAGCACACCAACATTTTATACAACTAAAATCATGTTATTAACGCCACAGATAAGTACAGATAAAAAGGCAATAAAATATGTTGTATGTGAAAAGAACTTATCAGCGTCTTCCTTAAAGCCAGGCTGATGATGTCTCTCCTGCTCTGTAAACCCCCTTAGGCTCCCTATTACCGTCAGGAAAGAGTCCACATTCCTTATTAGGACTCGCAAGGCCTCTACGATTTGAGCCCAGCTTCCTAGAATCATATATGCTCTCTAAACTTTAGTCACATTGAATCTCTCACTGTTTTCTGAATATACTAAGATTTTTCATGATTCAGAACCTTTAAACATACTTTTACTTCAAACTGGAAGGTCGATGTCTTCACTTGATTTGCCTTAGGGCAATTTTATAGGATTTTTTTTCCTTAAAAAACACAAATTAATGGCTCAGTGATTACTATGTATAACTCAACCAACGAATTGTAGGTCTGTTTCCTTTGATAAACATCATCTTTATAGACCCTGCCAGACATATAATATTATCATTCTAAATATTAATTGTGTTAAGAGAAATTATCCAAAACTTAGGAATAAGACAAAGCAGGACTGCATGATCTTTCAATGTTATTGGAGCATTATCCACAGGACCACTCAGAGATTGATTATCTAGAGGAATGGAGCTTTGTTTATTTGACTATTAACTACTGATTAAGGGCCAGGCTCTGTGAAGTTTCGTGTTATCTGTATATTTTTATTTGGTAGAGATTCAAATGAATTCTTCCTGGTAGAAAAGTTAACCATAAACGTTATGGTTTTATCGACTATAGAATATTATGTTGTTTTGCATCTAACCTAGCAATCTTATTTTGACTTTCTTTCCTCATTTCCTATAAATACTCAGGTCCTCAAATTCTCTTTGAACCAATTTTATCATCCTGTTTGTTCCCTCATTAGTAAGTTCAGTAAATATTAGACGTGCTTATTCTATATTTGTATGAGTTATGTTATTTCTTTTTCCATTTTACAGTTTTACATTAAGTACTAAACTACATTGTTCAGTTTTCAGAAATCTTTCCAAGACTTGTGTCATAATTAATTCTTTTCAATTACAAAACATTTTTCAGGAATAAAATCCATATTTAAAGAAAAAAATGAGACTTGTACATTTCAAAACAACCTACTTTCTCCTGGCCCAATGCATTAGTATGGATGATGAGCTGAGAGCCTCGCAGGCATTGCCCCTTTCTGCATCTGTTTCTTCAGAGTAATGTAAATTCTATGTCTTAGTTTCACCCACAGACAGGTCCTTGAAGAGATATTATTTATGAAGTGGAGAAATAAAGGACTTCAATTCAAATGATGTAATAGCAAATCTGATTAATGGAATCCATGTGAAATTCTTGACATTCATTTGGCCTAATTGAATGCCTAATCATGACTCCCAGATGTTAGACATTTTTTTAATGTGAGCATGTAACATGTAAACTTTTGGGCTTTCTTCTTCTTTTGGAGATTTAAATTATTATCCACTTTGGTATCCCCTTAAATTGTACTGTATCCTCAAACCATTTCTTACTTAACAAACATTATCAGAAATGCTTTTAAATGAAATTTATTCATAATATTGAAAAATAGTGAAATGATTGAATAAATCAAAAAATGCAGCTTGAATGATTGGTGTATCCATTTATAAATATTACCCAGAAAAAAGTATTAAAAACAAACTAACATGGAGCAAAAAATGAAAAACATGCTTTGAAAGTTGTGTACACCAAGTAAAAGATGACAGTCACAATGTACATGGTTTTTTTTTTGTTTGTTTTGTTTTGTGAGGAAGATCAGCCCTGATCTAACATCCATGCTAATCCTCTTTTTTTGCTGAGAAAGACCGGTTCTGAACTAACATCTATTGCCAATCTTCCTCCTTTTTTTTTTTTTCTCCCCAAAGCCCCAGTAGATAGTTGTATGTCATAGTTGCACATCCTTCTAGTTGCTGTATGTGGGACGCGGCCTCAGCATGGCCAGAGAAGCGGTGCATCGGTGCGTGCCCGGGATCCGAACCTGGGCCGCCAGTAGTGGAGCGCGTGCACTTAACTGCTAAGCCACGGGGCCGGCCCCGTACGTGAGTTTTTAAAAAAGGAAGAAAGGAAAAGGAGGCTGTCGTCAGTTTTACTCAAGCCAGGAGGCTTGCAGGGCCACTATAGAGCCAAGTGGACTTAAATTCTTGACGTTCTGGTCCTTGGCTTATTACCTTTGGTGCAGTAACTACAGACTTATTTCTGATACCTTATTTATTTTTAAAATTCTTCTGTTTTATGAATTACCTGGATTTTCAACTTTTGGTTTAAATCATGTTTCTCTAAACACCAATAATATTATACTTTCTAAGTTTTCCTTTGAGTTTTTAGGTTGGTTTGTTTTTTGAATTTTATTTAAGCATAAAAATCTGAATTAAATAAATACACTTCAGATGGAAATTTAAACTTCTTCATGGAAAATAATTGCGGTGTTTATGTCACAATATAAGTAATGAGTCAAAGAACAATTCTATTTCAAGTGAATTTGCATAGTTTTGATAACTTTTTGGGAAATGGATCTTTGGTTTCTGCTTTAATTCAGACAAGAAGCAAAGGATTTTATGTATAAAAGGTTTTTCAATATGTGTAATTGCTACAGTTGAAGTTTCTTTTATTTCCCCAATGAATTACTTCCCTGTTATGAAGAAATGATTCTCTCAAAGGACAATCATTTATTACACCTAAGCCTTCCTGGTCACCATTGTACCACATGCTGCTTAATAATTTGCAATGATTTAGGAAGATTGCCATAATCACTCAATTAAATGATGGCTTTGGATGCAACCTATAGCATGAGGCACATCTTTAGTACACATTTAGAACTGTCTTGTTAATTAGGCAGAGCCAGCAACCACTGTGTTCTGAGGATCCCATAGGCAGCAGACAACTGTCCTGGAGGACTAAAAGTAGTCATTCGTTTTCTTTGGTCCAACAGGGCAGATGCAGCATTGCCGGAGAGTGGAAATGGAGCCATGGGGAGAAAGCAGTAGACTAAGATTTAGGAAATCAGGTTTCTAATTCTGGCTCTACTATTTAGTTTTTGATCCTTGGGTAATTATATTCTCTGAGCTTCAATTTCCTCCTCTATACAGACTGTGAACCAGAGCTGATAATTTCTTAGGCATTTTCCTAATCAATGGCACACCTCTATGTAACTTAGATGTTAAAGGTAGAAAATATTTTGCAAAATGTCACCAGGGTATTAATGAAAAGTCTCAGTGGCTTACTTCCATGCAGCATCCTGAAGCAACATGATGAAAAACCAGTCAAACACTCTAAGGCAGGACAACTAATTTGTAAAACTGTAATTGTCAAAATTTAAAACTGTAATTGTCAAAATTTTTAATTACTTCTGGGCCAATGATGCAGAGTTGCCAGGCAATGTACTTTAACTACAGTAGTTTTATGGCCAGAATCAACCTTCCCGTGGGGAGAAGAGACACCTGTCCATATGTCTAGGTAATGAAATCTGAAGAATAAAGGATGAATTCTGAAGACAAATTTTATTGAATTCACAATTATGTCTTGGACAAGTCCTATATTATTAAGGCTTAAAATAAGCCCCTTTTGGTTAATATTTTAGACTGTGGAAAGTAGGCAGAATGTATTCAACAAACAGCATAGATATAGTCCTATAAATAAGTGGATTTTCTTGGTACAGAATTAAAATACATTTAAAGTATACACTTTAACTTTTATCTTACGTTTTTACTGTATCATCTCAATAATAATCTACTTGTGAAATTCAATATGTAATATTCATTATTTTTTTTACCTTCATAGTTCTGTTTAAATGAAGTAAATGAGTATTAATTTACGTAGACTATGATGTCTAGGGCAATATTAATATATAATTCTCTTTGCAAAATACCTAAAACACCTAGAATTTGCATAATACAATAAAAATTTGAAATGGTTTGCACCGCTTCTTAGCATAGTGCAGAGATCATAAATTTTGGAGTTGGCATATCTAGCTTGTTTTCAAATAATTTTTGACTGATACTGGACAAGCCAGTTAGAGTTTCTGAGCTATTCTACCCATTTATAAAAGTCTGCATAATAATATTATCCAGGGTCTTTTTGATGTGCAGTAATATAATGACTCATTTATTTTTGGGTAGTATCTATGGACATTCTTTAAAATAAGTTATTATCCCCACCTCCCTAGACATTCCTTAAGGACAAGAAGGACACTTGTCAGTTTGATCAGGAATAGGAAAGGAGGTGTAGGAGGAATGGGAAGACAAGGGTAGTTTTTTCAAAATTTAACATATGCACTTCATCTCTTTAAAAACAAGAGCACTAATCACACCTACCTCACAGAATCTGTGAGTATTAGAAGAGACAATGTCATAAGTGATTTAAGTTTTTTTCTTTCTAGTTTCCAAAATAGACATAGCTTGTTTTACTTGATTATGAAAGATATCCACCATTATAATTTTGATGATATTTTTTAAGACTTGTCTATGCCTAGATAAAGGGAAAAAAATTCCCAGAAGAAAGGAATTCTACATGTAAAATATTTTGAAACCTAATTTTTTACCTAATAATATAAATTGAAGAACTCCTATGTCAAATACACATGTACTACATATTTTAAATGGTTGCATATTCTGTAATGTGGGTACATCACCATTTATTTAAGCAATTGTTTGACATTATCTTGCTTATAAGAGTGAAAAATTGGAAGCTGTAATCAACTTCCCTGTACATAAATACTTGTGCACTTGTCTGAGTGCTTCCTCAAGATAAATTAGTTAGCAGATATGCCCTGGATTCAGGTTTTTGCTCTATGATGCTGAAAGCCAGTGTATTAGTGACCTGTTACTGCGCTAAGAAATCACCCCAAAATTCAGTGGCTTGAAACGACAATAATCATTAATTATCATCTGTGGTTTCCATGGGTGAGAAATTCAGACACACCAGGGATGGTTTGTCTGTGCTCTATGATATTGGATGTCAGCTGGAAGACTGAAAGTCTAGGGGCTGGAATCATCTGAAGGTTTGGTCCTTCACTCATATTTCTAGTTGTCTGGTGATTAATGCTAGGCATCAGCTGAGGGCCTAGCTTCCTTACATGATGGTGGCTGGATTTCCACAGAAAGCATTGCGAGAGAGACAGACAGACACAGAGAAAGAGAACTCTAGGTGAAACCGTACTGCAATTTATGACCTAGTCTTGGAAGTCACGTGTATCACTTCTGCAACATTCTATTAATTGAAGCAGTTACAAGCATTACTGCCATTCTAGGGGAGGGGATATAGATCCCATCTCTCAATGGAGGTGTGTTGATGTTGCATTTATAAGAAAAAACATGTGGCATGCGTTATATATTCCTGCTGCTATCTTTGGAAAACACTATCTGCCGTAGCCAGTATTAGGACTTTTGATATATATCATCAAAGTGACCTCCATTAATAATATAAGTTTTGAGTAATATCTTTGCCTGTCTGATAATATGAAAAATGGTATTTCACTGTTGTTTTAGTTTGTTTTTATAATTAAATATATCAAGCATTGTTTTGCAAGTTATCTGTCATTTATGTTTTTCACAATTTTTTTTGTTGTTTGACATAACCTTTATATTTCTATGGATGTATTCATTTGTATTTCTATGGATGTATTCATTTGTTTAATAACCCCCGATTTGTAAAACATTAAGAAAACAACCTCTGTCAGTTTTGTTGAAAATATTTTTCCTAGTGTGTCATTTTTTTGCTGTTTTATTGCATTATTTTTTCTTTACAAACTTTTAAATATGTTTCCTATCGTATATGCTATGCTTAGATATACCTTCATTACCCCAGAATTACATAAAAAATTTTTACTTGTGTGCTAATTTATTTTTTTCATAAATTATATCAAAAATAATTCCTTATAGATTAAAAATAAGATCTAACATTTTTCCAGTCTTTTAGCTATTCATTTTGTTGAAATAGTCAAAATAGCAGCAAGTTTTAAAAATAGTAATATCCAAAGAAAATGGAGAGGCAATCCCATGCTGATTATGTTCTGTTGAATAATCTATACCTGCTCTGCAGATTGGAAATGTTACATTTATCACGCATTAATTCCCAGATATAGTTGAGTCTCTTTCTGGACTCTTTATCATTCATCTCTAGTGCAATTCAATATCACATTGTTTTAATCATTATTGTTTAAAAAATACATTTTAACATCTGGAAAGCTCCCTTTCTCTCAAAATGCCTTGTAATTCATGAAGAGCCTTTCAATACTCCATCCCTAACTCTACTTCCTCCCTGGTGATCTCATTCAGGCTCATGGCTTTAAGCACCTTCCACAATGACAACTCCCCTCTTTGTGTCCCCAGTCCAGGCCTCTCCTGTGAACTCCAGACTCAATTACTCCCTGGGAAGGTGAATAGGC